AGTTAGGCCTATCTTGATTAAACTTAAAAGTTCAAAATTGCAACCATTTTAGTTTTTTAAACATATTAAATTACAAAAATATGCCTGATTTTTTGAACAAATGTTAGTAACACTTTTATTTAGCGCTTTTAACTCCCTATCAAACGATACCAAGTTCCAAAAGATTGAATAAAAAATTGCATCATGAAAGCCCCACCAATATGAGGCTTGCCCCATTTTACAACTAAAAATTGTAATATCACCAGTAAAGGAAGGGAGGCCATTATGAGTGGCCCTGCTGAGCCAAACACTCATCACTTTGTATATTACAACTTGTCACATTACGGATTTCATGGCCACACGTAATGGCTATCCAACCGCTAAGGGTGAAAATTTGGAAATACATATTTTTACCCCACAGAACTCTGTTTCAATCGTTGGATTATGCTGTTTTGCAAACTCGTTTAAATAAATATAAGTTTACACAATTTGACCAAATTTCATCGGAATAGAATGAACTTTACTTAAGTTAATACACGAATTTGAGCGGATGTTGTTTTTGGCCTCTGCAACATCAAAATGAAAAACTAAATGTCCCGTGTCTAGGTCTTACTATGAGACCTACGGTGATAGCTTACGGTAATTCCCAAAGACTAGTGTAGGGGAGAGTGGGGCTATACCATACACATAAGGGAGATTCGTAGTTACATCGCTAATTACGAAGTAAAAGTAATGTAAACACAAGCAATATATAATTTAATTATTTGGCTACTGATTGTATACAAACATTTTGGAACTATTGCATTTTTTACATGTAAAAATTGGTAATTAAAAAAAAGTTACTTCGTACAAAATAGCCCGGGGGGGTGGGGTTATTCTGTACAGTAGAAGGGGCTATACCGTACAGTTCAAAAATCATTTGTTTAGGTTAGTAATATAATAGTACTCCAACAAATTATTGCACAAACACTTTTTATTACCAAAGGTTGTAGTTAAGAAACAGTGTATTACAATCTAAACATTTTAGAAGAAATTACATTTTAAAAATCAACCTTCATAAAAACATGAAGTTTATGAAAAAGTAAAAAAATTTCATCCCAAAATTAAAAGAAAGAAGAAAAAGTCCACAAATACAGTAATGTAGTTCTCTAAAGACTCCGCAGCACTGCAAGCTGAATGGACCCACCCTGAACATGAGCAGCACCAACCTGGTACCATTGTGGTACCAGAGCTGTACGGTTTAGCCCCAATCTATACCTCGTGGGAATTTATAAACATAAACTCAAATTCTATCACTTAAGCAATCATCGCTAATAACCAAAAGAGAGCTTAAGTGATGTAGTTTATTATGATCTCACAGTTAATAGACTACAATAAAAGCTACTTCACTAACTTTTTATTTAGTACTGGACAAAAATTAGAAGCAAGTGAGTAGAAACATGTTTTTTTACTGAAACATTGAAACTAGCACACATAGCAAAACGATGCAGATACTGTAAACTTGCACATTCTAGTGCTAGATGTGTGTGTATAACAGTAATCTTCATGCATTTTATTATGCATAAATATTACTGAATTGTGTGAAATAGTGTTCATTAAAGGTTGTATTTTGTTAGCATCATGTCCAAAAAATGACGATTCTGACATTCAGAGATTGTTGTACGAGACGGACCTTAGTTCGCCGTGCTATTATGCTATATAATGATTTATCTAAGGTGTTATACATTTTTATAAAGGTAAATGAATACACTACAACATGTTTATATTGGTTTGGGTGCAAAAAATTTGGTAAAAAAGTTATATACTAAATACTGTACACTCCATTTTCTCGAAATGCGCAAAAAATTCAAAACGTTCTCAAATTGATACATAATCATAGGTGAAAATAACTTTTTACCATCATGACTTTTTTGGATTCCTTACTTCATTAGCTTTACTAATATGTACATAGTTTATACATTTATTAGCCTACATAGCCTAATGTTTTATAACATAAATAAACACTGTATAGTTTACACTTATTTGCGGTTTTGCGGTTATTGTATTATTATGTCCCTATTACGTAGGCACAAAAAAAATTTCTAACATGTTATAAATTTTTATGTAGGTAATTGAATACACTACAAGATTATTATGTTGGTTTGAAGTAAAAAAAATTGGTACAAAAGTTGTATACCTACTAAATAGGGCCTACTGTGATTTTTTTTCTCGCGAAATCGCTAAAATATAAAAACATTATTTTCCTACATATGTTTATAGGTAAAAAATTATTTTTACCATAAACTTTATGACTTTTTTTGATTCCTTACTTCATTAGCTTTAAAAACATGTATATCATTATTAGTATACACATATATTATATAACTTTTTACAACATAAACTAAAACTGTACCTAAGGTTTTCAATTTTGTTGGTTCTCCGTTTGTCATTATATTTCGCCCCCAAAACTTATAAAAAAAAATTATTTTCCTAACATATTATATATTTCTATGTAGGGATTTAGATTGTCTACAAAATGTATACAGGGTGTCTCAGACCACCCGGCCGGCTTGTATAGCTCCAATATGAAAGCAAATGGAAACCTAATTGCAACTGGAACCCCCTATTTTGACCCCAAGGAATTCAGCTAAATTATTTTCAACCCCAAAAAAGCACCCCAAAGGGCAGATTTTGGGGTGTGGGGGTGGTTTTTGGGAAATTTTCAAATGTAAAGGAGGGTCGTGTTATACCTCTTTTTAAAGGTCCTTTAGTCCTGAGTATTTTAGTGGAAAAAGATTTAAATTATCTTCATCCCTATTTACAGCGTGTTCAAAAAAGTACAAAAAAAAAAGACCTTTGAACTACTTTTCACTGTAAAGAGATGGAATTTCGTAAGGGGTTCAAATTTTGACAACACTTTAATTGCTAAATGAGCTTTCAAAAAACTCTGGTTTCAACCTTTTTGCTATCTTTTTACTTATGTTACGCATTTTCAAACTTTTTGAAGTTTCAAAAGCTGTTATCTCAAAAATGTTAAATGGCAACATGGGTTTCATTACAAACCACATTGTAGCCCTTAAAATTTGATATAATTTTCGTATTTAATGTTTTTGGTATCTTCATTGGTTAAAGAGATATAGCGAAATTAGTGTATTTTAATGTTTTATTAAATGGTATTCAAAGTTTTTGCTGTTGTAAATGTACACGTCTAGGTCTCAATTAAAACTAATTATGTTAAAAAATTAAAATACTACCCAGATTGTTAAACTTGGAGGATTAATAAAGGAAAAAAACACAACTGCAAATATTCTTAGTTATTTTACAATTTACAAAATTCTAATAGTGCTTTGAATGAATACTGTCTATAAATGCTACTGGTAAATAAAAAAAATCATCATGAAATCAATGAGCGTGTGCGTGAAACTGGTCACGTTTGATCAGATAAAACAAATTATAAGGAACTTACTGGATCTGTACGAGAGGTGAATGCACCTGCGGTAGTAAAATAGCAATACAGTATCATAGTGGAGAAGAAGTACTACGTGCATAAACAGAGTTGGGGTTTGCATGGAACAAAATGTAAGGCAATTTAAGCATTTGTAAAAGTCCATCGGTATGTAGGCTATTAATGCTGATTCAAACAAATTATTCATTCAACGCACTATTAGAGCCATGGAATTGTAAAATAACTAAGAATATTTGCAGATGTGTTCTTACCTTTATCAATCTTCCAAGGTCAACAATCTGAGTACTATTTTATTTTCTTAGACAAGATTTGTTTTAATTGAGACCTAGAGGTGTACATTTGCAACAGCAAACACTTTGAATACCATTTAATAAAACATTAAAATACACTAATTTCTTTATAACTCTTTAACCAATGAAGATACCAAAAAACATTAAATACGAAAATTATAGCAAATTTTAAGGGCTACAATGTGGTTTGTAATGAAACCCATGTTGCCATTTGAAATTTTTGAGATACCCGGTAACAGCTTTTGAAACTTCAAAAAGTTTGAAAATGCGTAACATAAGTAAAAAAATAGCAAAAAGGTTTAAACCAGAGTTTTTTGAAAGCTCATTAAGCAATGTGTTGTCAAAATTTGAACCCCTCACGAAATTCCATCTCTTTACAGTGAAAAGTAGTTCAAAGGTCTTTTTTTTTGTACGTGTTTGAACACCCTGTAAATAGGGATGAAGATAATTTAAATCTTTTTCCACTAAAATACTCAGGACTAAAGGACCTTTAAAAAGAGGTATAACACGACCCCCCTTTACATTTGAAAATTTCCCCAAAAACCACCCCCACCCCCCAAAATCTGCCCTTTGGGGTGCTTTTTTCGGGTTGAAAATAATTTAGCTGAATTCCTTGGGGTCAAAATAGGGGGTTCCAGTTGCAATTAGGTTTCCATTTGCTTTCATATTGGAGCTATACAAGGCGGCCGGGTGGTCTGAGACACCCTGTATAATGAATTTCCCATAAGAAATCCGTGGAAAAAAATAACGGGGCCGCTTTTGAAATTTCAAAAGGAAAAATATATTTTTTTAATTTTTTTCACTTTATTGATAAAATACACTGTCTAAATCATTATGATATTACTATTTCTAGATTCTCCAGTTTTTTTTAACAAAATGAATATGAGGTTGGCTATGTTTACTTGTACAGTTGAATTTTTACGAATTTTCAAAAAAAGGTCCGCAAAATCGCCAAAATGTGTTGGCCATTCCACACTACTAACATTGGCCACTGATAGGGTTAATAATATAGATGGAAATTCACCACTGGTAATATTCTCTACATGAGAAATTCGCTAATACTCTCTCTAAAGGACATTTGCTAAAAGAACATTTGAACATAGTTTAGTTTATCTCTATCCTTTTTGCTGTATTAGAAAAACAATTTAATACACGAAATAAAAAAAAAACTATTTAAAGTTCAAAAACTTGGCTTTGGTGGGAGTTAACTTAGCGTGCTTGCAAAAATATAAATTGAATAAACATAAGTCAATTTTGGGTATGATGAATATTTACAAACTAATTACCTTATTGCAGCTATTGCGTGTCCCATCTCATGAACTACTGTGCACACAAGGAGTGTCACCAAGTAGTAGCCAAGGTCCGATATTGGGATATTGAGTCCAGGGACCTGAAAACACAAAGTGATCATCCATATTTTGTTTTGGAAAGAGTTCACTAGAGTTCGGCATAAGAAATACAATACTTTTTAAAAGTTACAATAGCTTACACAATACTTATATGCTGTAAGTATAATTTTTTTTTGTCACTAACAGTATTTTCAAGTACAATGGTGTGATGGGAAAAAAGTTGCATATTCCTTGAAATCTAGGGTCTTATGCTTTATGATACCTACATATACCTGATCATTCATATTACATGAAAGTGTGAAGGTAAGAAGTTAAATGAATAATGATACCTGTTTGAAAATAAAAATAAATCCTTGTTTAAAAAAAACAAAGTGTTTCTTGCTAAAGACTAGAATAATATAATATAATATTGCAAAATCTAAGCAGCAAATACTCGATTTATGGATTAAGGAATTGTAAAATTAATATGAACTTTAACTAACTTAATACAATTAAATTGTACACATAATGTTCACTGTGTAGTGTATATTTATTACTGAAAAACTTCACATAAACATAAATAAAAAACAACAAATAAAATAAATAATAAACTGATCTGCTGGATTAAAAATAGGGACAGTCTTTGGAAATATGTATCAAAAATAGAGCAAACATTGAGGGTCATGCTTTCCTCCATTGGTTTTCTTTTCAATGCACTATTATTTATTTTGCTGACAATGTTTTAACAGAGCTAGATAATAGCTTTTACTATTAATACAACAGTATCTAAAAGTCAATGGTAATAGTAATCTTGGGTCTGTGTGCAAAACATATTTGATAAAGGCTTGTTTGATCAAGCAACTTTCAAAGCGTGCGTTCTGAAGTCTAATATTTATTATAAAATGGCATAGACTGTATCAATACAAATTTTGAATTAGGCTACAAAAAATATATTTATTTATCTTAAGATCGACCCTATATAAAAAAAAAAATTTATGATCATAGTTTAGGTAATCTTTATCTGCGGTAGAGAAATCTTTAACTAGTTATTTTCAGAAAAAAAATATAGTTTCAGGTGATTTAATGTTAAATATACGTTTAGGCTATAGGTTCCCATGGTCACCTCATGCATAATTAGCGATTGTACAATGAGATTGGAAGTCTACTTGTGATAGTTAGTCTATGGCTTTATTCAATAAAACAAACACAAAATAATATTGAAATATTTGTTAAGATATCATAACCACATAAAATGTTCTTACCAAAGGTTGAAGTGTGGCAATACTTGTGAACTCTGACTTTTCTTCTTGGACTAAATCTTTTAGGAGTATGTAGATGGAGCGGGTTAACAAAATCACTGCTATTGGCATGAGAACAATAGCGATCCATGTCCCAGCAGAGAACCAGGCTAGAAGAAGCTTAGGTCTTGTTGAACCCCATTTTTGGATCAGTCTGTTGAATACAGTCGTGTACCAGTGGAGTCGAAAAGGTTTGACTTGAAGTCCAGTATTGTTTAAAAGTCTTAGATACGGCAGATGCATACATGACTGAAAAAAAATTACTAGCCTAACTTACTATAGTAAAATGCTAATAATACCAGTGGTGGTTCCAAGGGGGGGGGCTACAGGGGCTAAAGTCCCCCCCCTTGGACACTGTAGAAATAAATTTAAACATACATTTAGTCCTTAAAACAAGCAATGTTATAAAACAGACATCAATATAGTTTTTATTAAACTAAATAAGCGATGGCAGGAGTAGGCCTAGTATTAAGTTCCACATAGATAAACTTTGAGGAACAAAAGCAAGACGAACAAAACAATATTACGCTATAGAAATTAAAAAGTTTTACGCATCATCCAATTTTTACAGCAGTCAACCGACGTGATCGAGCGCGACAGCGAGGCAGTGGCGGCGATAAGAACCCTTGGGCCCCCCCGCAAGTTTGTTCGCCGGGCCCCCCTCTCCCAATGATCTTTAAAAACATTTTCCCATGTATTACCGCCTAAACTTGCAATTTTGCAATAAACTTGACAAGGCATCTCCCGAGGCGTCATTATCGTCTTCCATGATCGCGGCAAAATCGCAAATGTTCTTCCCGTAGTCATAAGTCATGGACGAAACAGTATCATAGTTTACCGTGATTGTAAATGCAACAAAACCTATGACATCATTAGATAGCAGCATCATCGTATCCCGCGTTCACGGCCCAATCTAATATCACGGCCTAATATCTCCCCGCGACCCGTCGGTGGTGACGGGTAAATCATTTTTCCGCAATCGCGGCTAAATCCTAGATATATCTCTCGCTAAAAAAGAAATGTCACTATCGTCTTCCGCAATCGCGGTAAAATATTGAACATCTGCGGCCGCGGAGACATCGTCATCGTCACCCGCGGGGAAATGTTCTCGTCGATATCCGCGATCGCGACTAAAGTGTAGGCCTAATCTTTCAATTTCGTGAGCGTGATCCTCACGGATATAAAAGCTTTTACTTTTAATTGTGCATTATTGTATTGAATACTGAGAAAATTGGCTCGAGCTTGATTTTCTGACTTTGTACTTGATCTCTCAAGCTTGTAGTCCAGGCTCTGCTCGGCCACCAACAACAGTCCTGTATAATACGGGACCCTGAGCTGAGCCTGGACTACAAGCTTGAGGGATCAATCACAAAGTCAAAAATCAAGCTCGAGCCGATTTTCTCAGTATTCAGTACAATAATGCACAATTAAAAGTAAAAGCTTTTACATCCGTGAGGATCACGCTCACGAAATTGAAAGATTAGGCCTACGCTTTTGCCGCGATCGCGGATATCGACGAGAACATTTCCCCGCGGGTGACGATGACAGAGGCCACATTGGTTATAAATACGGCCCTGAGTGAAAATTTAAAAACGTACGTTTTCATGTCCCTGGCCTTTTACTTCGTAGATACTGGATTTGTAGTTTATTATTATGTGTTTTAATATTTTTTGGGACGGGGGCAACATGTTACACACATTTATTTAGTTTTAAATAGGTTCTAGGTATTTTTTTCGTATTTTTAAAGTCTCGAAATTCACGACCATGACGTGTCCCTAGGGTACATTTTTCAACTTTCACGCTGTTTTTAGACTAATTATTCATACCGAAATATATAAAGCCATATTTTTATGTCATCAATGGTTATTAAACTTACAAAAAAGGAGCATATTATAATTTTATTGTCATTGCAGACTGACTACCATGACAAAATAAGTCTGTCCCTCGATTTGGCGTCACGACCATTTGGGAAAAATTTTCAACTTTGGAGCACGACAGTGGCAAGCCTGGCGTCGATGGAGTCAGTTGGTTTTAGAAACTAGTTCGGGGTGTACGTCAGGATTGTAGTGCCGGTCGTTTTGAGTTGAAACGAGGAATTACAAGATTAATAAAGGAAAGATTGTGTTTTTTGTAATTTTGGTGTGTCCATGACCGTACGTAGTCATTCGATGAAGTAGACATGGTGTTAATTTTTGTTTATAAGATATTTCAATTGCTAGATCAACCTAGAAGTCCACTTTGTATCCTCGAACATGAGGTGCAGGGCTAACGCCAGAACAGAGCCAAATAACACGTAATTTCACGTCCAAAGTTTCACGACCATCGCGGTTTTTTTCACGACCACCTACCTTATGGAACCTTATGGATTATAGTGTGTTTGGTCGTGACAATAACTTTAATATAATTGTAAATTGAACAGTTTAGTTCAATTGAAACACATAGTGTTATAATAACTAACAGTATAATTGAAGGATTGTTTGGAAAGATTTAGATTATTCCAGACAATTCACGACCGTACCGCTTGTCCCTGACCATCACGTTTATGATTTCTATCATAAAAATTTATAAAATTAAAATATCGTCATATTTCAATGTTTTATACACAAAAGAAGCACATCTCTATACAAACATAACGATTTTTCGGGTCTCAGGTAAGTTTTTTCTGAGTTATACAAACTTAAAAAGATTTTATTAGCTTTTTCCTATTTTTTGAGTTTTTTAAATTTTTTTCTAGAAAGACCAAATATACCAAAAACTCAGTGACCTTTTTATTGTATAATGGTCATAAAAGTAAATTAGTTTATAGCAAAACATAGTTATAAAAATAATATTAACTATTTTTAATATTCATTTAAACGTCCGTTATGGTCGTGACAGAATTTTGTGTTTTTCTACTAAAGATGCTCTTTAAAAAGAAAACTACCAAAGATATTGCGTTACCATGGACATTTTATGAAACTTAAAATGTTAATGAAATAAAAATAATAATAAAAGTTTTGAAAAAAGGGGGAACAAATTTGCAAAGTGCTTTTCCTGAAAACGTACGTTTTTAAATTTTCACTCCCCTATTATTATGCAACCAATTTTGACTGCGCCTTCACACAATCCACGAGGACAGTTAAAAGAACCCGCATGGCTGATGACAATTCTTTTACTTAGGTTGGTAGATAATTTATATCGATCGGTCAAGTAATAGTGTTAGATTAGTTGTTGTAAACTACTTGAACTAAGTTATAGGTTGTAACAAATTTTTATCATAAAAAAAAACGTAGTCTATTTTAATTTTCATATAAATATTGTTATGATAGGGGACCCGTGTGGCTGAGCCTGTCACACTATCGCGGGCCCGTGTGCCGGTAAAATTTACCGAAAATCCCGGTCAAGGCTCATGGGCCCCCCTAGCCCCTGGGCCCCCCCGCACCGCGGGCCCTGCGGGCCCGCTATCGCCGCCACTGCAGCGAGGACGGGGAAACAGCTGATTTCATGTTCATAGTTGTCAAAATGTCTGCTAGCTACTAGCTTACACAGGCATCAGCCATCAGCGGTAACACCAGTAGCCTTATTGACTATATAAACATTAGTGTTTAAGTTTATATAGTCAATGCTATTACTGAATTTGATATAGCCTACATATTGTGACAGATCTTTGAAAAATGCTTGCATATATAACATATAACAGGTGAAATGGCAAAATGGGATGTTTTTGGACAATTAGGCACAGTTCTAGAAGTTAAAAATGGCTTTAAAAAGTCACCAAATGGCTTTTAGGAGGATATGGCCATAGTTTATGGAGGGCACAGTTTAAGATGTTAAAAATGGCTTTAGAAAGTCACCAAACGGCTTTGAAAATTCAAATTTTTCCCGGTCTTTATTAAATGGAATATTAAATAGATCTTTATAAAATGATTTATCTTTCGATATCATAAAACTATGTAAATAAAGAGCACAAAAAACAGCACATATGAATAATGGACACGATACAACAACCGGTCCTAGGCCTAGATTAATACGAGGGGCGTTTTTTTAAGTAAAGGACGTGATGTGTGCTAATATAGTTCTGTGTAAGCTTGTTGCCGCAACGAGGGGGGGGTCACTGGGTACTGGCATCATTTGTGAACAAAATCGAGCTATTTATGGATCTGTAGCTAACGTGAACACTTCACTGTGTGTCTAGAACATGTTTACTAAGGATACTATTCTAGCTGCTTTACTACAACCCTACCTATAGGAAAATTATTCTTGTTAGCCTATAGTAGGTAGGCCAAATCAAAAATTTCGCGAAAAGAAATTAAGCTCCTGCCAAGAATGGTTCTGAGATTAGGCTTTTGTAGGAAGAAGAAAAATCCTTGTTGATTACTGTTGCCAGTTGGAAGTGTAAGTTAAGTTAACTATGCAGAAAAGTGTTTTGATATAGAAAATGTGTATTAACAGCTTAACTGAAGAAGTTTGTAAAAGCCTGCAAGTTACATATACCCTACACCTACTTAACACGTTGGGTGCTGATGACGGGAATTCCCGCCATTGCTTAACATTGAAATAAATGCAATTTTCATGTTCAAACATGTCAACGGCACTTTAAGTGTTAACTTATGTAGGCTACCTATAGTTTTAGTTACTTTTGCCCATTGCTTTTCAGTGAGTAAGTTTTATTTAAGATAATGGCAATAAACTAAATTCAAATTCAGATTAGGCCTAATGCACAACTGGTCTGTTCTGGCAGCCAGGTATATGTAAGTTATTCATCACAGTTTCCTTGAAGACAATCCTAGGCCTTTTGAATTTGAGAAACATTTGGGGCGTGTTCAGACTTCCAAGGCTGACTGTAATCCTTCATCATAGTCTTAAACAGAGACGTTCCCTGTTTACTTCGACAATCTGTCGTTCAGTCACTCTTCTACTCAGATAGAAACTTTAACTTTGGTCACTGCTTCAAACAAGACTGATGAGCAACAGCTGGACGGCCTCTACACCTTGGAAAACATCATGAAACTGTTTAAGACTACATCCTCTAATCCTTGGAAACATTTTATAAAAAAGTTTCAGTAGGCCTAAGTTATAGGCTAGAAACTTTATTTAACTTACTGGTAAGTTACTCCATTCTTGTCAGACAACTGGTGATAAATTAGACTTCAGTTAGTTGACGACTAAGACCACACAGTCCTTACACAGCATGCTTTCCCTACAGTCCTAGGCTACTTTTTGGGGGCGTTCATTTTCTTTGCCAAAGTTTTTAAATAAGCTACTTTGACGAGACTAAACTTTTAAAATCGTTCCACAGGGATAGTATAAGTATCCGACTAAAATAAGGTAACTTAGTAGCCTAGTGGATAACGTAAGGAATGTTGGTCTCAGATCAAAAATCAATATTGGGTGAATCTGCCAATAACTCACCAATTAAGTAAGTTTAGTAGAGCACATGCCACTGTCCCAGATATGTCTATTGTTCGGGCTCTATTTCGGGATCTAAAAACTTAGGCTCGTACAACTTGGTCAAATGATAAAAATGTTCGAACACAGAGCATAAGTTAGTAAGCCTACCATCGTCGTACCTGAGGAACACTTAAAGGTTATTATAGAGGGTGAAAAGTGACAAAGCGCTTGTGCAACAAACTAGACCTATTGATTACAATATTCCAGGACAATAGGCACAGGTAAAGGACATGTTCACCCATACCGTATCCTTAGAGGCGGTTTGGGAGCTCGGTATTAGCGCTAGTCCGCGACTATGAACCGGATATTTCCGGTATTTAGGCTGCCGCCTAGAAAACGGGTTTGGGAGCTCGGGATCAGTTAGGCGCGCACCTAACTTGTGCAGGGATAATCTCGCGCCTAAATATTGTTGGTTTGGGAGTCAAGTAGACTTAGGCGCCAGCCTAAGAGATAGTCTCGGTGGGTTTGGGAGACCAATTTCAGGACTAAGAGATATATTTTCGCCATAAAAATTAGTGAGTTTAGTCCCCAACTTTAGTCCTGCCAGGGGGCAGGTCTAAGTCGACATCATGCCGGTATTACCTAATTAGCAAGTTAATTGTTTACATATTAGGTAAAAGAATGTTAATTGGAATTCGTTATTAAATTACGAACAATTTCATTACCCTCAAAGTATATTTGATAAAAGTTTTTTTTTAGGTTCCTGTTGTTCAAAATAAAAATAAATCTTGCGGGAAGTAATTTAACGAAATATTATTTTGTTTTTGTTTTTACTGTTAACTTAACTGCAATAAATATATGGAGCCTGAATAGAATTTATTTCAACTGAGAGTTTGGTTATAAACACCCGTACCTTAATTATAAATATTTTATTAGGTAGGAAAAAATTAGCAACCGCATACATACCTTCCCCCCACTTACCCCCCTACAAAAGAGTGAAGAAATAATAAACAAAACATAAAAAACTAAAATAGCTCACAGTCATAATCGTTTTGTTTTTATTGTGTTATGATTGAGCTCAGTTCAGTGTCATTGACAAGTGCTAGTTACATCAAAATGTAGTAACCTAGGTTACTTATTGGGAGTATAAGAAAATATACGGTATACAGTATATCAATAATCCCGCCACAGAAAACCTACAGACTAAGCGGATATCCAATAACCTAATAGGACTTTCAATTGAATTTATTTAAATAGCTTTAGGTTTAACAAGTAACTAAAACTACCTACGTGTAGGTATGCTACTACAGGGAGGGCAATACAGTGTGTTTTTTACCAAAATATTAACAGCTTTAACTTAATATAAAATAAATAAATTTGCCAAGTTTCATCAAAATATATCCATAAACTACAAAACTACAATTCAGTTAACTTATTCTCCATGAGAATCACACGGGGGTTTTAAATTTACGATTTTTTGAGTAGTCTCTGTAGCCAATAACCGTACAAAACATTTTAATATAGGTACTAGGTAATTTGTTTTTTATACTCTTTAAAATATTTTAAAGATAAAGATTTATGTTTTAAGGGTTAAAATTGAGAAAAAAACTGTTTTTATCCCATAAAACCCCGGGTCCTCATGGTCTGATCATGCTGGTTCGCAAACTCATTAAGGTTTATCGCGCCTTACACTTTTATGCCAAATTTTATCAAAATCAGACAAAATTACTCAAGTTGTCACATTTACGGACGTGTATATAATGTATGGGCTATACATATATAAACATTTGAACGAATAGGGGGGATGTTTATTGGCCTCTAGGGACATCAAAATGGAAAATTATATCGGTCCCGGAACTAAGTGCTACATACGGTAATAGCTACTTCCCTATAGAAAAGTTAGATAAAAGAGTGTCATGTTTAAAAAATTTTAAATTGACAACAATTTTTTTGTAAGTCCTATTAACAGACATTTGCTTCACACTATCATAACCTCCGCAATTACTTAAAATACTTTTTATTTTTTTTCCGCCAATACCCATATAATATACAGGGCAATTGCTGTTTAATTTTGAAGCATTTTATTGCATGAAACCGAGTTTCAGATGTAACCGTTCCACACACAGGGTAATCTTTGTTAAATGATTAGGCTACCTAATGTTTTTGATCTCTGAAAGAAATCATATTGATTTTCAGAAGCCTATCTTGCTCTGTACGTATTTATAAGGTGTAGTACCAGAGATAAAACATAGTCATTGAGATGTAAATCAAAGATCTTACAAAACTAAATTTTTGCAATGGTAGCCTACAATGCAGAAACTTACACCATAGTCTACTAATTAGCCACCGTTGATATACAAAGATAAAATTGTATCCATCTTCAATTGTTCATTGTTTGTTGTTGTCAATGGTAACTTGCTCAGCAGTGGCCGTTGCCAACGTCAAAACCTGAATTCCCCGTGATTCCCTATCCATCTAGCTGCGCTGCAAATTAGGCGCGACTATTCTTGATCCACGACCATTTCAACTTAGGCGTGAGCTCCCAAGCCTGATTTCTTGTCCGGGGAATAAAGTTAGGCGCGTGTAACACTAGGCGCGTACTAGCTGGGCTTGAGCTCCCAAACCGCCTCTTAGTCATCAATAGGGGGACACTTCCATATATGTTCCAAGGCAGTTTCCCCAACTCACCTAAAACGCACTTCCTGAAGTGTGAAATTGTGTAAAAAGTGTATTTAATGAAGTTTTGGACTTTACTGATGGGCGGAAAAGTCATTATATGACCGAAAATATTAATTTCCTAAGTATGTCCAAAAAATCATAAGTACACCAATTTACACAATTCCACACTTCAGGAAGTGAATTAAGAACCTAACTGACAATAAACAACTCGTACAAACACTTACGCAATCAATGCCTTCTAACAGTCGATGACGTCATCAGCGCTGTGGAGGGTAAAGCTGGCCAGCAGCTTTGAAAAAATGGTGGATACGTTCAAGCGGCGAATAACGTTGCTTGAATTGGAATTCGGCCAAATATCCCACAAAGTGTTTTTTCCGAATCCCATACCGGGGATGGTTGCCCGCACCTCCCTCCAAACACGCTCAATATTGTTCGTGTGAGCACCAGTCTCGGGATCAACGAAGTTCACAGAGTGGTTGACTTGAAGATGCCTGAACCCCTCCTGGCCTAGACAGTCGTACGCCCGCCAGCAGTCGCTGATGATTGTTGTGCCAGGAAGGATCCACTCGCGAATCAATGCCAGCAAAGTCGCAGAGTCCCTTGATTCCACAGGAACAAGGAAGGTCCTCTTCGTGTTCACGTCAATACCACCGAACACCCAATGTCCTTCTATAATTCGCCCGCGATTATATTTCCGCCGTCCGAACTTCGCCTCGTCAATTTGCACAACCGCCTGCGGTCCACCGATCCTCTCCGAACGGTCCACCATGTGATTGACGTACACCTCCCGGGTGAACGAGTACCAATCAACAATGGTCGCGCTGGCAATCCCCAGCTCCTGACGAATGAAGGCCTGACGAGGTGGTTTCAGGTGAAGAAAAATAGATACGAAGACAAATATCTGCTCAACAGATAAATGAGAGTTCTCTAGGAAGGTACCAGCCCGCGCGGAGACGTTGAATGAGCACTGCCGCTTTCTCTTCTTGTTTATCGACAACCGGCGCCGACAACGAAAAGTAAGATCGTCCACGACCAGCGGGCACAAATTACCACATCGAGTGCAAGCACTTTCCCGGCTCATCACACCGTGATTAACCATAAACAAGACAATGTCAGTCCGCGATCTACGCACACTGTCCAAAAACTTCACTTCGCAAGAATCGCACTGAGGTTCGATTACGTCAGCCATCTCGGAACAACCTACTAAAACTGGTTTAACGAAGACGAAGCACTACAGCTAATTACCCCAGGAATCACCCGCAAAACCCCCAGGATTCACCAGCAATCCCCTCCAAAATAGCTATGTGATCCCGCAAACTCCCTATTAGTACACCAAATCGCAGCGCAAAAACTTTTACCATGTAGCACAACCGTCCCGAACCACTTAGCAGAAGTGACAAGCGCTGGTTAAAGTGAAACTATACAGCAGAACCACGGCCGCCTTTACGGCCGCCTCTAAGGCGGCCATGACAGAACTGCTGTTAAGTAACTAAACTTATGCAGACTTGCTGTAATAGTATTCATATTCGTATTTTGTATTGAAACTATTCTAAACTAACCAACCCTAACCAAACTTGCTGTATAAACTCATTATACAACAAATATGAAAAGACATGTGGTGAAGGGGGCCGGACATTATGCGGGTTCTTGGCTGCACTAAGTCCTTTGAAGGTAGGTTAGATTAGTGAAGTTAAAGTATAGGTTATAGTTGGCCGGGCTGTTTATTTATGTAAAATCTACATCGTTTTATCACTATTGGAACATTGGCTTAAACAACGGTACCATTTCAAAAATGCAAGCATTTTTGAAATCGTAGCCTCGTTGTTTAAGCCAATGTTCCAATAGTGATAAAACGTTGTAGATTTTACATAAATAAACAACCCGGCCAACTATAACCTATACTTTACCTTACTAATCTAACCTAACTTCAAAACACTTATTGCAGCCACGAACCCGCATAATCCCCGTCTCCCCTTCCCCACATGCCTAAATAAAGTATTTCCGAGGTTATTTCACATAGTCTACAACCCATTGGTATGATGAGAATTATTACTCTTTGCCTTGCTGACTCATAACCAGTGGCCAATAGCGAAGCGTCAACAACCCAAGTGACGTATCATTGGCCAATAGCGACGCGACAACAAACCTAGTGACGTGGCATTGCATTTATCCCTGATATGTGCATAAAATCCCTAAAATGGGGATATTATCCCCAGTAATTTTGATTTTTATCCCGTTTTAGGTACTTTATCCCGCATAATTAAAAAAAATCCCATATTCGTTGTACAAATTACCCATCTTCCCATGAAATTACCCTTTTGTCTCGATGTTTAAGCGACTTTTTCCCCCCACCCAAAACCCCGGATTCCCACTCTGTCCCCTAGTGAGTAGGAATAATGGCTGATAACAAAAACCCTGTTGTCTCGATGTTTTAGCGAGTTTAATTATTTTAGCGAGTAAGGAAGCCTCGGCGACAAAAAAGTTATTTAAGCGAGTTGTAGTATTGATGTCAAAGAACAGTTTAAGAACGTTTTTAAGTGCGTTTTAGGTGAGTTGTGGAAACTGAACAATAACCCCTAAGGTAAACTAACCAAACTATCGAATGAGTACTTTTTATCGATATATCGATAAAAAGTACTCATTCGATATTAGTGCCAACAGATATGGAAGTGTACCCATCAATAGGCCTAGATTTTTGGGCTGCACTTAAGTTTACGTCACTAAGTATACCCTATAGCCTACACTAAGTTTAGGTACTCACATAGCCTAGGCTACTGCACTATGGTTAAGGTTAGCCTAGGTTTAGTTTAGAACAAATTTCATTTTATAATCAGCTTGTAGGCCTAGGGCCTATAGTTATTTAATGTATAGGCTAATAGTAAATGTAGGACGTAAAATGAAGTGCAACCCTAAGTTAGGCCTAATTCATGCTATGGTACTGCTTATGCTATCAATTAGGCTAGACAAACCATTTTAATTTTTAATAGATCATGCAGATCGACTTAGAGAACCCAAAGCTTAAGCCAAGTTGAACTTACCTTAAAAAACGTATCAAAAAAGTATGCACAGCAATGAAATATTGTCACACAAATTACAAAAGGATAAATTTCGTCCATTGTTGACAAATTAGGCCTACTATCATCATTCAAACATAAAATACACTTGCTTATTTTATCAGACCAACACCATTTTAAGGTTAACACTCTATTAAACAGGGCAAATCCACATTAGATAACTGAGCCTATTTTGTTGTTAAATAAACCAACGATATCGATATAAAACATTTTCTTACTTTCATGTTTCATGATGTAAACAAAACAAACGATCGGCGTACGGTATGTCGGCATTAGAGTAGCTGCTCTGGCTCTGTCTGTGGAGTAGGACTAGTAGGAGGAACTAGGAAGGAGTGACTTGTTGACTGAGACAGTTAGTAGGAGTAGAGGTGTGTCGCTGGTCGCTGCAGCTGGAACTACATTTATCCAATCCACCGTTCCGAGAGTGCAACTCGTTCCACCATTCCAAGCGGAACCACAATCCAGTTCTGTTCCGTGTTCCGTTCCACTCGACTACTTTTTCAGCTGCAGCCACAGCCTCCTCTAATACAAGGCCGCGGCGAGTTAATTTTATTTGAACAAATTGTTAGATGTTAGTCTCTACAAATCCCAAAATCTCTACAAATAAATATTGAAATTGAAGTGGCAATAAGTTAATCCTACTGTATTACCATTCTTGGTATAGTAGTTATATTTTGTAAAATTTAAGCCCAGTCTGTCTAGTAGTTTTTACTATGTTAAATAACACACATACAGACACCATGAGATTGTTATATAATAGTATAGATTATCAAATTAACAAAGGAAATATGTAAAGTACATCTGGTACTTTCCTGTTAAAGGGAACATTCATTATTATCGATGATTTTCAATCGATATATCGATATATTAACGAATTGAAACTTATCAGCTGACAACTACGATAAATAAATTGTGTATTATTCCAGATTTAAGAACGAATTTAAATTATTGAAATGGATCGTAAAGGGAAACAAAAATATCGGTATATCGATTAAAAATCATCGATAATAATGAATGTTCCCTTTAACAGGATTGTGGTATGTTGCAATTTTTCACTGAATAAATAAAACCTAGATTCTAATAATTTGTCTATTTTACCATACTCTAAAATCCACTAAAATATCTAATTTAAATACTTTATTCAATGATACAGAGCAGCAATACTATCATTGATGTTTATAGCCTAGTACGAGTATCGGGTGAGTGCGGCGTTCCCAGATGGAACGTCGCGGCCTTGTATTAAAGGAGGCTGTGCTGCAGCTCAAAACTGAGTGGAACGACTTGAATGTACAGTAGGCCTAGTTCCGCACAAACAGCTGCAGCCTTTTTTTGTAAATTTTGAAAGATAAGTTCCGGACCGGAGTAACTTTATTTGTAAAACACATGTAGTTACGACAAAACAGCTGCAGCTGGTTTGTTAATACTCTCACTAGCACTGAGCTATAATTCTAACTGGAGGTAGCACTGAATGTCAAAGATGCGTGTCGCCAGCCGCCATGTTTGCGTGAGGTGGGTGTCCATAAGAAGCCATATTATTGCTATAACTATTATTATACTTGGCTTAAAATACCTACTTTGTATGTTCGCCATTTCAAAGAAAATTATTAAAGTATTAAAAGTATTCAAGTATGACAAAAATACTCACTGCTATACCAACCTAGTTATAAGAAGCCATGTTATTGCTATGGTAAGAAAACTTACTGCTATACCAACCTAACAAAATCAGCGACTCGCTTTTGACAGACTTCTGCCATGGCAGTGCTACCTCCAGTTATAATTTTAGCTCAGTGCTCACTAGTCTAAAAAACATTAAATTCTTACGGTGTGCAACTGCTGCGTTTTGACTTATTTGGTCTATTGTAAACAAATGTTTGATTAGCGGATATAGTTAACATACCTTAAAAGAAATAACAGTAATCATTTTCTGTTTTTATAGTTTTTTTCAGGCAGCAATTAAATAAAAGTACATCAGCCCCAGTTAAGTCGTGCTCATAATATAAGTGTACATCATTCTTATAGCAGAGGTATACATCTTTCTTTTAAAACAATTGTCAATTTTTTCTGATCAGAACGTTCTTATGACCGCCTATTATGGGGTCATTTTCCCTCATTTAGTATACGCAGTGCCGGCATGGGGATATGAGAATGGAAGGACCAGATTTCTATTTCGACTTCAAAAGAGAGCAATTCGAACCATCTTTAAAATCAGCTCACGAACTTCATGCAAAGATTTTTTCCAGTCTTCAAATATTTTAACTTTTCCATGCCTTGAAACACTCTCTTTTCTGAAAAAGAACATTTCCATTTTTTCAAGTTCCAGATCATGTCCACATTCTTTGCGAAACAGTCTTAATCTTCAGATACCAAAACATTCAACCACCTTTTTCAAAAAAACATCTTTATTCTAACGGTATACTGCTTTTCAATGCACTGCCAACACATCTAAAAATTGAGTCAAACCCTGTTGTTTTTAAAAAATCACTTCGAAAATTACTGGTGTCCAAGTGTTACTACCGTGTCCGTGATTTTATTGCTGATGGGTAGTCATGGGCATATGGTATGCTTGGTTCATGAATTGATTACATGTAAATATTGTTGTTATTTTATAGTTTATAAGACAATCTGTATTTTTTTAAATGTATATTGACTTAGCCAATGCATTCATGTAAATCTGGCCAAATAAATGACTTATGACTTACAAATTAATCATTTCATTAGTAATCAGTACCGTAATTAATTGTTTTGTTTAACTTAAGTCAGGAGTTTATAGCTATTAATTTTAGAATTTTTTATTAAGAGTTAGTGTAAGTGGTGCTTGAATATTATTACTGTATTCTGACAATTTACAAAAATGAATACGTGAAATGTAACATTGTTAGAAAAATGCCATAAACGAATGAGGTCAACGGTATTTTATATACCCAGCATAATAATATATAGGCAATATTATTTTTATAATCAACATGGTCACAAATTGATCAACAAATTTTTTTTTTAGAATTGCAAAAATATAATATATAAGATAAATTAAAATATGAAGGAACCTCTAAAATAGCCTATACCGGCCTTGTCACGTATTATTTTTAGACACAAGATAAACAAACTAAAATAATTAATTACTTGTGCTGTACAAAATTTCCGAAACACGATATCGGTTTCCTTACATTCGCTATTTTGCATTATTCAAAACAATATTTTAATTCGAGCTTAAACTAATCCGCCTCAAATTATGGTGCCGGTAATAAGCTGAGATTTTGTTCATATCCGTCCTTTTGCCTCGTTCCACTACAGCCATCGCTCCGCTGCAGCAGGAAAACCAGCTGCTGCTGCAGCGGGCAAAACTATAGCTTCAGCTGGAACTGCTTTTGGAACGAGCTCCACGGCGACCTTGGAACTAGCTGCAGCTGTTTCGTCCAAGTAACTGCTTGAATGTTCTAGCAGTACGTTAACTTAACTTAGCACTAGTAACAAAGCAAACTGGAGTGGAGTAAGGAGTTCTTCGTCTTCTTTTCTACTTTGTCGGCTTGGTTAAATTACCATGTAGCAACACTATTTCACCTTAAAACACGACTTTGCTTGGATTGAATAAAACATTATTAGATAAGTTAATTAACTAAAATACAAAATATTTATCATGTAATCAATGTGAAAAAATTGTATATGATACAAATAAATATATATACCCATAATAATAGTCAGTGGCGTAGCATGTTGCCCACGGCTAATAGGCTCCATATACTGCAATGCCCCCGACTGCCTGGACACTAAAACGGTCGTGATACATGTTGCCGGGCAAAATCACTCCCGGCAACACCTCGGGCAGTTTTTTCGTCGTCGCCACCGGTCTCCCCACGGCTAAATGCACCATTTGACTCCATGCCCCTCTACACGTCCGACACCGGCGGCTCCACTAGTTGTGCCACATGTTGCTCACGGCTAATAGGGGCCTAAGACCGCACAATTTGTTATTCAGGATTAGTTTTGCCAACAGTGTCATTTGGAGGCTTCTGATTGACTATAATAAAGGTTTACTATTTGAAAAATTAGTTTTGTTCATAAAATAAAATAATATATGCCTCAAATTCAATTTTATATTTTTTTATTGTGAAATAAAACTGTCATAGCCTAACCAAACCAACCAAACGTGATGATCATGAAAACATCCAATGAAGGTTTATTAATCGAAGAAATAGTTCTGTTCATAAAATAAAATTATAAATGCCTCAAATTCAATTTCATAATTTTTTAATTATAAAATTAAACTGGCATAACCTAACCAAACTACCAGACTTGCTGATAATGAAAAATCTAAAGAAGGTTTAATCGAAAAAATAGTTCTGTTCATAAAATAAAACTATAACTGGCTCAAATTCAGTTTTATAATGTTTTAATTATAAAATTAAACTGTCATAACCTAACCAAACCAACCACACTTCTTGCTGATAATGAAAAAATCAAAGAAGAAAAATTGAATAAAAATATATACATTTTATAAAACAAACAATAAGTCAACAAATATTTACTTTTCAGTAGCAAAAATGAATAAACTAAAATATCTTCCAACAAACACAGCTAGCTTTAACTCAATAACTCGTTTATTAAACCAAAGTAACAAATACAAATTTGCATTAGTCATGTCAAACAAAATATATCTTTACGTCTAAAATTAAAATAAAACAATTGTGCTTTAATCAACTAGATTTACGAGTGACAATCTTCTTCAAACTTAATTAAAATTAAACCCATCAGCGACACATTCACGGACACTGTAGCAACTTTTGGCCAAGAGTAACCTTTTTACTTGCCTTTTGAACCTCCCTTCAGCTGGAGCCGGACTTGGTCCGCTTTAATTTGAAGCGGACCAAGTCCGGCTCCAGCTGAAGGGAGGGAGGAAGTAGATTGAAAAGTGTAATGCCGTTGTAAAATCAGTGTTGCCACCGCGTTGTTGCGATTTTACCCTAAAGGCGGGCTAAAATTACCCTAAATTACCCTAAATCTACTTTGAGTTACCCTAAAAATTACCCTAAATGTTAATATTTGCG